GCCGGAATTCCGCTGCCTCCACCAGCACCATACCATTGTGTTAGTCCCGATCTTATATACCCCCCTCTTTGTCTCTTGCTCGATCAAGAAGGAGAGGACGCCGCTAAGCCGCACGTGTGCTAAACTCGGAGGTGTCGTCCATTCAGCACTAGATCGGGAGTTCGTGGACGGATCGTGATTGGATCACGAAGACGTTCCACTATGTCCATCGCGTTTCTTAACACTTCCGCCTAGCGATCTACATGGTTATGTAGGTCCATCCCTCCTCTCATCGATGTACGTCTCCTAGATTGCTCTTGTTGAGCATAGGAAATTTTTTGTTTCCCATGCAACGTTCCCCAACATTTTCTTCTATCGTTTTACAGTCCTTGTGATGATTACATGCTGATGTTTCATATATTTTAATCTTTTCAACAAGGGGTTGTGAGGAGTTTATGAGTAGAAATAACCATAGAGACCCTCAACTAATTTGATTGAAACAGAAATCAACCATGTTGTTCCTTTCATTTATTATTTTGAACAAAAAAAATGCAGGCTGCTATTTTCCAAGATGTGACTATGCGAGAGATCTCTACACTTCAGTTGAAATGGTACACATGGTACTTATCTCTTCCAGTTAGATCTCTTTGGGCGTGTGTTTTTCTCTGACATTCATTCCCCTAGAGGTCCTTTCTACTCTCATGAATCTTTGGTGGTTATAGTACTCCCTCCGTCCCTAAATATAAGTCTTTTTAGAGATTTCAATATGGACTATATACGGATGAATATAGACGTATTTTAGAGTGTAGAGATTCACTCATTTTGCTCCGTATGTAGTTCATACCAGAATCTCTAAAAAAATCTTATATTTAGGAACGGATGGAGTACCATGTAGTATAATGCTATTCCTTTGGATGTAAAGCAGTAGAAAACTTGAAAGATGTGATATTTGTTTGGTTATGGTTATGCACAAATCACATAAGTATTATGGGGTCGGCCTCTTTCTCTCCATCAGAACTCTACTTCACCTGTTACGCATATTATGTTTTCTGACTAGGTGATAGACAATTATTCCTTTTGTGTGCTTCAACAAGTTGTCAGGCAGTGCTCTCCAATTACTCAATTAAACTTCAAACTCATTATATTAATTCTTGCTATAATTTTTGCAATTATGCGTCAGTTACACTGATAAGGAGGAAAACACAGGCAAGAAAATGGCCGCTGCAAGGCGGTGGTTGTGGGTGCAGGATACACTTTGCTCCTGCCATTGTGTGACTGGAAGCTGACACGTCGCTTTGCAGCATGAACAACGTCCCTCTGCAGTATAGCTTCCCCAAATCAGAGGATCTTGGTCCTTGGTGTGTGAGGGCTTCTACGCCTCGGTGCTCCACAGGGCAGCAATTTGGTTGGGTGCTTATACTTTAAATTTGTAATCAGCACCTCCCATTACAATGATATAAGTTGCTCATATGCAAGCAAGTCTACTGTGAGATGCATATTAATTTGTTTTTGCAGGTTGATATAAAAAATATACCCTTCATCTGTGGATGTGCCATCTCTGACATCGGGAAGATTTGTCTCACAAAGTTTATATGATTGGAAATGATAAATCTCTACCTTTTGGAATGATCCTTCTTGTGTCTGAAAGTATGTGCACTGTGCAATACATCTTCTGGTTTTTGCTTGAAGATGTAAGTTTATTTTATGGTCTTGTGACACTTATTAATTTTTTATATTATGCTCATATACTAAAGGTTACTTTGGATAACTTCCTACTTATACTGAGAATGATGATCTGCTTGACACTAGAATTTATTAGGAGGTCGCCAATGCAATTTAGTTTCACTCATCTCACTGAAGCTCAGTTTGTTTAGGTAGCAAACTTGTTTGCATGTTTTGGTTTCTTTACTTACTATCTTATGCAAGATCATCTTTACTAGAAGGGATGTGCGCGCTTTGCTGTGCCGTTCGTGTTGTTGGGTTTCTTAACAAAAAATAACCACTCTGTTTCAAAAAATAAGTTCTATTACTTCTTTAAAAAGTCAAACCATTTAAGTTTGATCAACTTTGTAGACAAATATATCAAAATCCATAATATCAAATCGGTATTTTTTTTGATTCATCACGAAATGAATGTCCATACGATTTTTGTTTAATATTGTGGATGTCGATATTTTTGCTCTGAACTCGGTCAAAGTTAAAGAAATTTGATTTTCTAAAAAATTAATATCCCTTATATTTTATAACTGATGGAATATTTAGTTTGGTGGGTTGGGGAGATAATAGAGTGTGTTTTATTTTTATTTATAATAAGGTGATTTGGTGGGCCTTTCGTGGTATGATTCTGTGTTATCCGCTGACCACCCTATATTTATGTGGGGAAATTTCTATGTTGATGGTGGCATGCACTATATTGATGCTATAGTACCATATGGTGACACTTTTTTCTCTAGGTGATGGGAGGGTGTGCGGGATTGATATGTTTTTATAAGTCGGTTGCTGCTGATTGATTTAAAAAATCATTGGCCTAGTCAAAATCATAAACCAAATCAAAATTGAACACCTCGATTGAATGAAAGAGCTTCCAATTTTGAGACCATAGTGAATAAATACATTTGAATGGAAAAGCTAGATAAAGTGTTGACCCGGTCAAAATCAGATGATCCAATTCGAAATTGAATAACTCAATTAGTTACGGGGTCTTGAAAATTAGGAAGCACATGCAGACTAAGGCATAGCCTAGTGGTGGGAAGGGGCTGATGCCTTCCCACCCACCCAGGTTTAAGGCATGATACTTGCAATTTGGGTTTGTTGCACCAATTATACTGTAGGGGGTTCCCTTACAGTCTTTTTGTGAGAAAACAATTAGGAAGCACAGTGTATAGTTTAAAAAAATTGAATGACGGAGCTTTGAGAAATTGTTGGCTCGGTCAAAATCGGGTGACCCAACTCTAATTGGTGCCTCAATTGAATATGGACTCTTTAAAATTAGGGAGTTTAATGTTATAGATGATTCTAATCGATGCTTCAGGAGGTCCGTTCTGTGGTTCAGTCTACTAGATCCTGCATTGCAGTTTTTTCTTCCCATTTTGCCAACAACTTAAAAGCCTAGCTAATATATTTTTGCAGATTCTCCCATGAACCAATATGTAAGAAATGGAAATAAGTTGTTCAAAATGAATGTTAGCCTGTGCTCTATTTGCATCAGAAGTTTTTATTAAAGAATTCCTTTAATGATTTTATTAAAGAATTCCTTTTTGTGAAAAAAAAATTAGGAAGCATAGTGTATAGTTTAAAAAAATTGAATGACGGAGCTTTGAGAAATTGTTGGCTCGGTCAAAATCGGGTGACCCAATTCTAATTGGTGCCTCAATTGAATATGGACTCTTTAAAATTATGGAGTTTAATGTTATTGATGATTTTAATCGATGCTTCAGGAGGTCCGTTCTGTGGTTCAGTCTACTAGATCCTGCATTGCAGTTTTTTCTTCCCATTTTGCCAACAACTTAAAAGCCTAGCTAATATATTTTTGCAGATTCTCCCATGAACCAATATGCAAGAAATGGAAAGAAGTTGTTCAAAATGAATGTTAGCCTGTGCTCTATTTGCATCAGAAGTTTTTATTAAAGAATTCCTTTTTGTGAAAAAAAATTAGGAAGCACAGTGTATAGTTTAAAAAAATTGAATGACCGAGCTTTGAGAAATTGTTGGCTCGGTCAAAATCGGGTGACCCAATTCTAATTGGTGCCTCAATTGAATTTGGACTCTTTAAAATTAGGGAGTTTAATGTTATAGATGATTCTAATCGATGCTTCAGGAGGTCCGTTCTGTGGTTCAGTCTACTAGATCCTGCATTGGAGTTTTTTCTTCCCATTTTGCCAACAACTTAAAAGCCTAGCTAATATATTTTTGCAGATTCTCCCATGAACCAATATGCAAGAAATGGAAAGAAGTTGTTCAAAATGAATGTTAGCCTGTGCTCTATTTGCATCAGAAGTTTTTATTAAAGAATTCCTTTGATGATTTACAAAAAGGAACATGGCATAGCAATGGAAAACGGCACGGCAAAGCACACGCTTTCTTCTACTTTGTTTGATACCACCAAATTGCTTTCTCTATGTCCTTGTCCACGTTTCAACTTTGCCAGTCTTCCCTACAAGAGCGTCGACATCAGCTACAGTACATCAAGTATGGCAATGCCGCATAGGAATATTCCACGAAGGGAGCCACTCAGACAACAAACATCAAACTATTTATGTAAGTTATTAATGATTGACTCATTTGAAATGATGTATCAGTCAGTGTTCACACTTTGACATATGTTGATTTATAATGTAAACATTGACACCCAGGTTTCAAGCAATGCCGTGAATCAATCATCCGAAGAAATATATTCAACCAAAAACTTGGCTAGTAAAACGATTGTACTTGGTGAAACACACCACAAGCAAGCGCACAAGATAGACATGAAGACATAGACGATGTACTTTACAGCAGAAGTGCAGAAGAGGAGGCTTTTTTGGAGCAGAAAACATGTCCATTGCACAAGCAAATTAGCAATAGCGCAGCAGCACCACATTGCAATAGTAGTACAACAGGGTTGTAAATTATAAACATAACATAGCAGAGTCAGATAGAACAACACGGATGGATAGAAAGCACTATCATAACGCAGGTCATAAGCTAGTACCAATGCTACTAGTAATAGAAAGACTGATACAACCTTAATGTAAGACGATAGATACAGATGGGTCAAGTGAGCGCTATTCGCAGTTGTGCCACAAGATTGATCCTTTGTGCCGTCTAGTCTTCGTCAAGTAGACTATCTTTGAGAATCACTCGATCACAAGAGCTTCAACAAGAGCATCATCTTGGTCAGGAACGTATGGACGATAGCTATCAGAATCCCTCAGCCTGTCCTCCGGGATAGCAATCTGTATTCCAGTCCAATCGATCTTCTTCCATTGTTCGGCAGCGTATTCGTTCCCCCTTTCCCTGTTGGCGATGAGTTCTTCATCGACCTCGTAGTAGCCCTTGTCCCGCACAGACGCGATGACCTCCTGCCGGTACTCTTCGAAATCGTCGTCCATCTTCTTGAAAAGCTCTACACTGTCAGCGTGGGCACGCTTCCTTTCCTCAATCCACTCCAGAGGAAAATACTCTGCCAGATCGTCCAGGTAATCGGCGCTGGGGTGTTGCTCCGGCTTCAGCGCAATTATGGTCCTAATCTCGGCTTTCGACAGCCGAACCTTGCCCTTGTTTGGACCTGGTGGTGCTGCGGCCGGCTGATTGGCGACAACAGATGACAGATTCGCCTCCCCAAGCATCTTGTCCATCGCAGTCACCCCCTTGTCTGACTCGAAAGACTCGTCACCCTCCTTGTAGATGGATCCGGCGGCGGAGGGGAACACCGCCGCAGGACCATCGACGCTGGCCTCCGTCGAATTGGCAGCGCTGCCCGGACTCACCATCAACTTCCCCGCCTCCTCCTTGCCGGCCATGGCCTCTTCTTGATTGATGGTTCCTCTGCTGTCGACGTAGATCTTGGGTTTCGAGGTTGGTTGCTTGCGCTTGTTTTGGGGATTGGATTGGAGGCGGCGGTGCCGTCTCAATCTATATAAGCAAGGAGACGAAGAGAAACCCTAGCCGAGCGAGCCCGTCTCTGCTCTGCACCCAGTCGGTATCGGACCCCGTTTACCACCCGGACTCGGCCGGAACTTGACCACCAGCCCAGCTCAGTCCACCGATGACACCCTGGGCCGGCCCCGGCCACTCCGTCTTTGTCTCCTCTTCCCCTCATTTCCCTTTTTTTCTTTTTCTTTCCTTCCCAGAAAACAAATGCTTCCTCCATTTATAGAAAATATTATAAGGTGTATTAATATTTTTGGAAATCAAAGATTTCTCTGGTTGATCAAGTTCATACTGAAAATTATATTATAATAACAAATAAACAAATTATAAAAATATGTTTCGTGATGCTTCTAATGATACATGTTTGGTATCATATCCATTGATGTTTCCTCTACTTATATAAGTACTACTCCCTCCGTCCCATAATGTAAGACGTTTTTTGACACTACACTAGTGTCAAAAAACGTCTTACATTATGGAACGGAGGGAGTACTAGTAAACATGCCCCGTGCATTGCAACATGCATACATGTTCTAGTAGTAAGCTAGGCCATGGTTTATCAGTATAGTATATTCATATGAATTGTGTAATCAAATGTTTACCAAATAAAATCATGCCCGCGACTTGCCTGCCTAAATATGTACACAATCATGGGCGCTAGGATTTTATATGGTAACACACATTTACCAATTATTAAAAAATCTAGTTAATAACGGATTATTTGGTAAGTTAATAAAAGTGGGGTAGTTAAGGTGGTTTTCAAGGAAAACAGTGGAAAACCTAGAATAGGAGGGAAAACCAAAAACAGCATCATGCTGCCTTTGTATCAAGTTATCCGAATGTATGGATAAACCTATATCTCTATTTTTATTTCGAGGTTTCTCTGAAAAGGTGAATAACTACCTCTTTCTTCCTTTCTTGTCATGTATTCCCTCCCTAAACTAATATAAGAGCATTTAGACCACTATTTTAGTTATATAAACACTCTTATATTAGTTTACAGAGGGAGTACATGGCTGCGTTATATCATTTCAAAATTATTTTATAGATGAGTAACTAAATGTTCTCAATAAATGGTACTACAAAGAATAAAGAGACTAAACAAATGAAAACTGGGAATGGTAGTGGGAACATGACCAAACAAATAAAGAAAGATGTAGATGACATGTCTTCAATGAACAAAAATAGAAAAAAAATATAGAAGGACTAAACAAAGAAAGAGAGAACAACCCATGACTAAATGAAGTGAAAATAGAGAGAATGAGTTCTCAAAAAGACCGACCAAAGAGTGACCATGGACTAAGAATATATTTTTCTTCAACGACTAACACGGTAAAAGGTGACACTGGAAAAACAATACTACGAGAACAGAGACATTGATTACTCAGAATATCACCAAAGAAAAAGAAATAAAGATAAATGAATACTAAAAATGTACTCTTTTCTTCAATTAATCTACAGAGTTATTGAATTTAATTGCCAGACAAGCAAATGAACAAGTGTATATGAAATGACCTAAGAGATTCTTAGTCTAAAACTGGGTAATAAGGAGGACGAGGGAGATAGGCATATAATGAATGCACGACTATCCCGTTACTCAACTCACTCGTGGACGAAACACTAAAGAAACAAATAGAGATGTTGTTTCATCGATAAGTGTGCCTCTGAATCCAAATACTAAAGCCTAGTTTCAGATGTGGATAAAGGATAATGAAAAATAAATGACTTAGAAATGGAAAAAAAATCAGGTTGATGATAAAACTAGGTTAAGGGGAAACACTGAAGAAACTGTAATCCATGAACGGTAGACATTTTGGTTGGTACATTATCAATTTTATTCTGGCTAACACGAGGGATAATGCCATGGTCAACATTGTAAGGTCAAAAGTGGACATTCTAAACTTAACTACTAGAGTAAAGGATTAAGAATGAAATGACAGGCACAATTTCCTTGCGGGTTAGCATCTGCTGCATGTCATGGTGGGTGTGTGGTATAGGTATAGGACTGGCACCCTGTCCCGATCTCCACCTGATCTTTCTCTCTTTCCTCGTCGCTCACGGAGGCTACTGCTGGATAAGGCCGCGCAGCGCCTATGATGGAGGTGGCGGGAATCTGATCCCGGCGGTCTCATGGGCCATCGGTGTGAGATCCTCCAAGGTTGCAGTGCGATGGAGTATTTAAAAAAAACTACCAGTTTTTGGGGTTTGGGGTTGGTGTCCCACAGAACTACAACATTCAAAATTTTGTCCGAAAACTACCACTTTTTCGTAATTCGTCCCTAAACACTATAACTTTTGTTGACGACCGTTTTCGAGTATTTAAACACGTTTATGACAAGCGGGACCCACCCATTGACACCCAGGTAAATAGCTAACTGTAAATAGCTTTCAACTTTACATAGTTTGAACTAAAATTAATTTTAAGTTTAATCCCTAAAGTCAATTGTATCTCCAAAATATTTACTAGGTTTAATTTATTTGTTCACTAAGTCATATTGCAAGAGTTTATTCAAATTAAACCTATGGTTTTAAAGTTAATAACCAAATTAGTTTAACTGAATTCAATTATTTATTTAAAATATCTAAGGTTAAGTAATAATCCCAAACTATTTACTAAAGTTCATTTTAGATTTTTGTAACTTAGTTGCAAGATAATTATCTGAATAAACATTTTGATTCCAAGGTTAAACCAGATTTTAGGTTTAATATTGTTTGAGTTAAAGCCATTGTTAAATATATTCAATCATAATTTTTTAATCATTTAAAAAATGGACTACTGTAGCTATGTTGAAACTATATTTCCCTAGATTCATTCTGCAAAAGGAATCAATTAATTTTGATATATAATTTGCATGTTATGCCTTATTTAAGTTTGAATTTTAAAATTTTCAAAAGTCTAACATTATTTAGTGAATCTTTCCATAATGATCATTTCGCAAATAGATTCACTAAATTTGGATTTACAGATTAAGAGTTATGATGGTTTGAAAATATAGGGGGTCTTGTGTAAAAGCTCGAGTCAATTCAATTTAGTAGAAAATGTTTCAGATAATCTTTTGGATAAGGCAGTGACATGTCGTGTTTCTATTGGCTGGTACCGGTTCGTTTAAGTGATTGTACCTGATGCGTTGGGTCTAAGGTGAACGGCCAGAAATAGATCTAGGCACTAGTAGAAAACAGGGCATTTGTCCCGGTTCGTAAGGGGCTTTTGTCCTAGTTTAAGAACCAGGACAAAAAGGTCGGTACTAATGCCCTCCCCCTTTAGTCCCGGTTCTTACACGAACCCGGACAGATGGGCCTCCACGTGGCCACTGCGGGCAGCCCAGGCAAGGGGGCCTTTGGTCCCGGTTGGTGACATAAACCGGGACCAAAAGGCTTCCACGCGTCAGCAGCTGGCTGGAGCTGAGGTTTTTTTTAAATGCCTGGTTTAGGGGTTTTGGGGGTTAACTTAGGTTGTTATTAGCTAGCTATTAGAGAGAAGTGTCCTCTCTTATATCTTCATCCTTGGTTTACCAACGCTACTACTATGTTCATTTCACCCGCTGATATATAATAACTCATGCTCGCATCATATATCATCATATATAATAACAAGTCCTACTAATCATGCATCATCATACAACTTCTACTCGTTATTAATAACAAGTCATACGATCATCATCCTCATAGTCATCGAACCCAACCCTACATAATTGTTTTTAGCACATGACATCAGTATCATGTAGGACCTAAACACCCTTAAGGTAAAATAGCATAAAACAATATAGACCCTGATTCTCCATTATGAAGAATGGAGATCATCCTATCTCCAATTCTTGCGCTTCGCTTCCTTTTGCTTCCAAGAAGCTCCTTACGAATGTCCATACATTTTTTCCATTCTTTGATTGTCATGTCTCCATTTCTTTTAAAAATCCGGTATGGACAGTTGAGATTCGTAGGACAACGGTTGTATGTTCAAAACACCAAGGCGACTGTGCGTATACATCAGATGAGGCACACAATCATTCGGGATTATCTGTTGAAAAACAAAGTAATAACTTCGTAGTTAGCAATTATGTACTAGTTTTAGAAGTATGCAAAAAGATGCACGGATGTCGTAATAGTAAAAATCTTATCAGGATATCTCCATGGTAGTTACCGTAGTTCAACACGTGCACTAATGGCACGTATTGACCATAATATTAAGGAGTTCGATTGTAGATATTGTAATTCTCAAGATCAGTACAAAATGCGATCAGATGATTTTTCTCCTTATAAGATAATTCAGAGCCATCGGTGTAGTGGGTTTTGTCTACCATCTTCCGCACATTCTTTGAAGAATGAAAATAAGCTGTCAATGGAAATAAGCTGTCAACTATTCTGAAATAAACAATATAAATTACTTAATAACTATGTTTGAGAAGCTCACATTGGGGAAGAATTGGAAGTGTATCCACAAGGACCCAAATGTTCATATTGTCTTGCTCGATTGTAGGTTCACCAAGATCCATGGTGACAAGCATACCCTCATCAAAACCATACATCTTGCAAAGTGCTTCCCAATTTTTGCAACCAAAATGGGTTACACTCTCAGCATTGTACAACTTTACTTCAAAATCCACACCATGATGGGTCCTTAGGTGATTTTTTTTGGATTCCATACTTTCATGGTCTTCAAAACCCATCCTCTCCAAGACATAGTGTCTTGCATAGCATGGGATAAGCTAGTCGAATTGGAAAAGATGAAAAATACACGTTAAAAAAGTTGAAGTCGTGCTTAATTATGAAAAAACTATTGTCGTCGTTGCATACCATTTCAACATCGAAGGTCTCCTCGATCTTAATGTTGAAGCGCCAATCTTCGTCCAGCTCAAGGAACCTGTCGCACATA